GTTAGTTACAATTTTATAAATGCCATAAATCCAATGTTCATAGATGGTTTACAAACCAATTATTAACTGATTAGCAGATGTTATTATTATATTATCTTTTAACTGATAGTAAACAATAAAAAAAACACATGTCATTTTTATTTGTCATTTATAAAACAGTGTATTACTTAGTAAGATTTTGCACTGAAGTATATACAGAGCCGGTGACTCTGTTATGGGTAATTTTGCCCCCTTTTTTAAAGTCACTTAAAATCAATACAAGTTATTCCTAATTACCGTGTCTATCTCAAGCTGATACATTTCCACTCAAACTCAAGAGAGGGGTCTAGTGGGTAGTTTAGAAGCAGCTCAGCACTTGACTAAGACACTTCATGTTGGTGCGATTTATGATCATTTTGAGTGCTCTAATAGAGTGGAAAGGCACTATACAATATCCATAGAAAATCACTCTTTGCACCTTGTTTACAACACATTCAGCTCAGGTTGTAAGAAAAGTTTCTTCAGAACAAATATAAAATGAAATAGGCCATATAGCATGATTCATTGATATTGTAGCATTTAGCTGGTCTTTTACAACTGTTGATGCATGTTTGGTTTAAAGTCATTTTAATGGATCTTTGTCCCAATGATATTACACAGAAATCACAGTTTGCTCTGATGGCAGTCGTCCAGATGATTTCCATCTCCCGTTTTGCACAGTCCATGTGACTCTTCTGGTTTCCTTTGATCTTTTGCCTTAAAAACAAAATCTGTTGCAGCTAGAGCAAAAGATTAGTTACGATGAGTCACGGGATCATTTTTTTTCTGCGTCACAGTGTTACCAAAAAAGGTGGAGTTTTGCTGTTTTCCACTTCATGGTGACAAATTTATACTTTGTAATTTATACTTTGCAATAACACAAACACAAGTTTGACGCTGATCAGTAACTTATTGTTGCGAGATCCATAAAAGATATCAAACACTTAATACATCAAGTTTAAGTCCTCATAAACTAATTACATGCAGACTGGGGGCTTTTTTCTGTCTTGATTAAAGATATTGGAGCTATAATGTATCTTTTGAAAGACATAGTTTTACAATCTTTATATCTATTAGGGTCCAAACTGCTTTTGTATAGTCTGGACCAAGTTGGAAACTAAACCAAAGCTTTATTTGGAACAGTTGGTAACTTTCACTGGTGGGAATCTGGTGAGGGATTATATCTGAGTTGCTGTATGGTCTATCTGACTTGTCTCCTTCTGTCTGCACCCATGTAAGACTAACAGCCTTAGGTGGCAGCAAGAAAAGCCTGTGTGCAGGGTGAGCTGGAGACTCACAAAAGAAAAGAGGTCTCATTTAAAAAAGGAAGTCAAATAAAAGTAATGGACTTAATTTGATTTGACGTCACGGCATCGGTGGCGAAAGAGTCACTTAGCGACTCTGAAATGTGGTTGTAACAAAGACTGCTGAGCAACAAGCTTCTCTGAAAACATGATGCTGTTGTGGAAACTGAAGGGAAATTTGACAGTCTGTTGGATGTACTCAGGGTATGTGCGGCGTGATGTATTCTGTGAATCTGAAGGAATCCAATTAAGCGCCTTGACTGTTGTTGTGATTTGGTGCTATATAAATAAAATGGAATTGAGTTGAATTCATTAAAACATGGACAGATTGACAGTAAACAACATTTGGTGTTCTTCTACACATCCTGTCTTCCTCCCCTCACCTCAACCTGTCACAGCAGATGGCCCCGCCCCTCCCTGAGCCTGGTTCTGCTGAAAGTTTCTTCCTGTTAAAAGGGAGTTTTTCGTTCCTACTGTCACCAATCTTCATTTCAACTTTCATTTTATTTTATTTATACAGCACCGAATCACAACAACAGTCGCCTCAAGGTGCTGTTGTAAGATAGACCCTACAATAATACATACAGAGAAAAACCCAACAATCATATGACCCCTATGAGCAAGCACTTTGGTGACAGTGGGAAGAGAGGTCTAGTAACACATAGTGAGTGAGAAAGGTGACTGAAGAAGAAACACCCAGTGCATCATGGGAGTCCCCCAGCAGCCTACACCTATTGCAGCATAACTAAGGGAGGATTCAGGGTCACCTGGTCCAGCCCTAACTATATGCTTTAGCAAAAAGGAAAGTTTGAAGCCTAATCTTGAAAGTAGAGATAGTGTCTGTCTCCTGAATCCAAACTGGAAGCTGGTTCCACAGAAGAGGGGCCTGAAAACTGAAGGCTCTGCCTCCCATTCTACTTTTAAATACTCTAGGAACAACAAGTAGGCCTGCAGAGCGAGAGCGAAGCGCTCTAATAGGGTGATATGGTACTACAAGGTCATTAAGATGAGATGGGGCCTGATTATTTAAGACCTTGTATGTGAGGAGCAGGATTTTGAATTCAGTTCTGGATTTCACCAAAGCGCTTGCTCAGAGGTGGTTGTCTGACCGCATTAATGTTCATCATTCTTTCAAAGATGATTTTTTATCTTTGAGCCCCAACATAGCTCTCCTCTTTCTCTAATTTGGCACCACTGAAGACAAGTTCAGCCATCAGGCGTGTCCTTTAGTAAAACCACTTTCACTTTATGAAACGATCTTATGACTTGTCAGCTTTTTATCAGCAGATTTTCCCTCCTCTGTGACACAGTTCTGTGTTGCCATTTAAAGGGAGTTTTGAGCTTGTGACCACTGTAACCTTTAGATTGGAGTTGACCAGAAGAATAAAGTCTCAGTTCCAATAAAGGTTAAACACAGAGCTGTGTTACTGCGTGGGAAAAATATGCAATTTTCTTAATATCTCATGATGAGCATGGCACAGTGCCTCACTGTAAAAAAACAAACAAAAACATGTGCTTTCAGTAATAACTAAGAATATGAACTAATTATGCATAAACTATCATTTAATGAAGATTTTAAAGCAAATCTCAAAAGCTGATTTCAAGTTGCATTTCAAACATTTGGCTCAGGGAGTTCAGAGGTTGACAGTTACTCGTTTTCCCCTTTATTAATTTCTATTCTCAACTTGTTTTTGTGATGACTGTGACAGTCCCCAGGACACATTTCAGGAAAAAAAGAAAAAAGAAAACAGCCTTACAATCGCTTTTGGATGTAAAAGTTCAGACTTATAAATAATGCATGACTCTGCAGAGCCATCCTCACATTTCATGACAATGAAAACGCTTCAGGCAGTCCAGAATCTGGGCTGTTTAGTCTGTGACTTCAGGCGAGGAAGTCTCACACCACAGCAGGGCTGAAATTCATGTGAATGTCTAGACCAAGAGTTATTCTCTTTTTCTTTAACACCACATCTCTGTAGTCTGTGGGCTGCCTGATAAATCCGTCCAATAAAGCTGTAAAATATCACAGTTTGATTTATTTAAAATACATGAATTATTTATTCCATTTCTATGAAACTAATAAATACTAAAGCTAACAAATGCTGCTACAATATTTTAGTTCAGTTAGTTTTTTCAAATTAAGAAAATTGTCTCAGTAAGTTTACATTTTTTTCACAAGTGTAGTTGTTGTTTTCATGTCTAAATGTAGTTTTAGTTTAGTTTTAGTTATTTACAATAACACAATAACAATGATATTAACACTAAAAGTCAGGAGCTACATTACTGCCTCCGTACGCTTTGAATTTGTGAGTGCTGGTGGCGGAGTGATACGGGTGCTGTTGAGGTTCAAAAGAAAGGTGAATATCAGACACTGTTCATGTGTTTCATACACGAGCTGCGGTTTACCGTTCAGTATGATTCGTGTTTCCAGATTATTCCATGAACCTCTAATGCTCTCTTGGAAGGTGATAGAATGAGAAGACAATAATAATTACCCACGAAGACGTCTGCCGGGCCATTTGGAGTTGAGTCATTATAAACGGTGTTGCACTGAAACTTTTTAAATGGATCTTCACAGTGACCTTCCTTCACACTGAAGGAAATCTGAGATTCTTCTTATACAAGGATGTACTGGAAAAGTAGGGCACATCAGTGGTCCCGGGAGTTTTTTCCACCGGACACCCTTTTGAAAGTGTACCTGAAACAAAGCGGGTAGTTTTCTGGAAAACTCCAGCATACTCTGCTATAGCTGCTCTGTTTTATTTGTCTTTTCTACTGATCACAGTAAACCTTTATTACATTGAGCGCTCTGTACTAAACACCCCCAGTCCAGTTATTTGCGCAAAATGTTGAATTAAACTATATTAGAATATCTTTCTGTATCTTCAAGATTTCATCTTAACACTTCTTCTCTGTGGGACTCAGAGACACATGATTGCCTTTAAGCTTTTTTTCAGTAGACTAAACTAATTACTCAGGGTTAAAGAGAGTTGAACGCCTTTTTAAGTGTATTAATAACTCAGATTGCCACCTACTTTACCTTTGATCACAAAGTGTTTCATTAAATGAACCTTGCAAACCAGAGACAAAAAAAGAGAGAGTTGTCCTTGTAACAGAGTTTATGTGTCTGACTGCAGGTCTCCTGGAGAGCAGCATGCGCCTGAAGCCCCATGAAGCACAGAACTACAGGAAGAAGGCGCTCTGGGTGTCTTGGCTCTCCATCGTCGTCACTCTTATTCTGGCTGTGGCAGCTTTCAGTGAGACTTTGCTATTTTTTGCCATATTTAGCAACTATAAAGCTGTTTAGTTCTCACTTTACTGTCAAAACTCACATTAAAGTAAAAAAAAAAGGAGTTGGAAAAGACTCAGGATTGAAATACTTAGTTGTATAATGTTAAAACGTTTTTTTTCTGGTTTAATTCATGACAAAGATCCCATTTAGCACTTTGGATTTAACCAAACCATACACAAAGGAGAAACGATGTGACTAACATACCAAGCCATAAAAAATGTGCTGATGAATGAACAGTGATTCCGTAGTTAAAGCGCTTAAACGCTAAATTCATAGCATTTCTAAAAGCTTTCCCAGTTATAAAAGTGAAGCAAATTGAAGCCCAGCACATTTCATCTGCTACTGTTTTGAAATGGACATGAACAGATCACACATGTCTGGAGTGTATGACCACAAAGAGCGCGTCTGATACCTGTGCTGACATGATAAAGTGATTGAATCTCAGAAATTGATTTTAAAAGCTACATTTTGCTGTTTGTTGCTGGTGTTTTGTAGCAGTTTGTCCTTTTTTTAATTCAGAAATTCTGGTTTGATGCTGCGTGTTTGGTTCAACAAAGACTGATATTAATTCACCAGATGTGTTCTGTCAGCTGTTGTGTTGGAGAAATTCATAGCTATTGTATATAACACCAGAGTCCAAGTGACGGAGCACTGAACACATTACTGCTCCAAAGAAAACATCAGGAGTTGCTGTGAAACTGCTTTAATTTTTAGCTACAGGCTTTGATCACCGTACAAACATTTGAGTTGTTGTTGTCTGTTGTTGTCTTTTTTATGCTTCGTGATTCATAAGTCAGTGTTAAATGTGTTTAATAGACAAACAAACAAACCATTTGTCTGAAATGAAAATGAGATGTTCACTCATGGAGCCAATGTCCATAGAAAGTCTGGCTGTTTTGAAGCAAAATACAAAGAAATGAGGGTTGCTTGAGACTTTTTGCACAGTGCTGTAATTTATCACTATAAACCTTTTTGTGTACAAAAACTGAAGTGAGGAATCGGCATAAATAGACTATTATTCTGCAAGCTCGATGTAAACAGTTTCTTCATCATAGCTAGACTGCAGAGGTTACGTCTGTTTCTGCTGCACTTGTAGTAATTTCATAATCTCTGAATTACACGGCTTAAAACTAATTTGTCAGCATCAAATCATGTAATAAAGTCTGACAGAAGTTTACTTTTTCAAAATTCAGGTTTATCCTCGAAGCCTTTGTAAGCGATATAATGTCTAACATGGAAGTAAATATAGTCTGAGAGCTGTAATAACTATTCCACTGTCTTCATGCCTCTTTAACTACTTAATTAACTCACACTCAGCAGTTAAAACTCACTTCATCTGATTTGAACAAAAAGGCTTTTGCTTTTGGAAGTTCTTCACGTTGCGTGCAAAAGTTTCAACAGTTTCAACAGTTTCTTGTCTTATGACTTACAGGATGTGTGAGGGCACAGTCTGCAGTGACAAAGGGGATGTTTCTTTTTCATTCTGCTAAGATTCAAGTTGTGATGTGTCCCAGCCTTTTCAAGCCTTTTGTCTTTTCAAGTAAATACTGATGAAGCACAAGCTCATTTTCCAAGCAGGAGCTACATGTGTAGATGGGGTTTGCAGTAGAGAGGAGAAGTAGCACCTCCACTTTGGTGGAGGCTGGCTCGTCCACTCCAGTTTGGAGTGAGCTGGTGTCTCAAGTGAATAAGCAGCAATGTTTTGCATTCTTGCTCATGAGTGTTGGATGAACGAAGTGGGCAACAGTTGGGTCTGCAGTGATTAGCTAAAACAGTGAAGCCCAAAGACAAAGCTGTTGATTTACTGGTAAAAATGTGCTTCGGTCCTTAGCTACGGATAATGATCCATTTAGCAAACAAAGTCTCCTCTAAAGAGTTTTTGGGCTCTCTTTAAAGATA